TTTGGTTGACTACTGCTATTAGTAAAGTTTTAATATATTCCATGGACCAGATAAACTCTGTTAACCAGAACTAATAACATTTTCACAGAAGAAGCATATTTCATTTTCACTTAATAAATGGTTTTATTAAACATTTATCATATGCCAGGGACTGTGCTAGATACTAAGGATCTCTATCCAAACAGAAGTTACTATCTAGGCATGTCACACACGCCCTAAGGAGGTACAGTAGGAAATGACAGGAGGTTATCTAAACCAGATCTGCAGGATCAGGGAAGGTTTCCTGGAGGAAGTACTAAGATGAAAACTGAATAATGCAAATGACTGACATAAGTGTTCCTGTCAGGGCAAATGGCTAAGTGTGAGGCCCTAGAAAGGAAGAGAGGGTGTGGCATAGCACAGGAAATGAAGAAATCCAGCACAGAGCTGCATTACAAAAGAGGGAGAAGTTGAGAGGGAAAAGTCTAGTAAAGGTGGCAAGGCCTAGATCAAGCAAAGATTTGGGCTATGTTAAAGATTTTGGACTAAGGGGCGCCTGGGTGGCTCAGTCGGTTAAGCGTCTACTTTCAGCTCAGGTCAGGATCCCAGGGTCCTGGGCTCCTTGCTCAGTGGGGAGCCTGCTTCTCCCTCTGCCTGCAGCTCCCCTGCTTGTGCTCTCTCTCACACTCTTTCTCTGACAAATAAATAAATCAAACTTAAAAAAAAAAAGATTTTGGATTTTGTGTTAACAAGTAACAGGAATTCACTGAAGAGGTCTGAATAGGAGGCTGACATGATTAGATTTGAATTTTAGAAATACCACTCTGAACTGCAGAATTGAGAGTATAATGGAAAAAAGAAAATGTTGGAGGCAGAGACATTTGTTTTTAAGAAATATTAGTAGTTCCCAGAATCACTAAGAGGGATGAAGAAAGGGAGCCTGAACTTTCAGGAACAATTCTCAAAAAACCAGGCCCAGAAGGGATCTGCCACCTCTGGCATGATTAGGAAGATCAGAAAACTTCTCCACAACTACCAACATCAGGGCAGCGACCTGGCAGAGGGGATGACACGTCGGAGGGGATGGCAGCTGAAGTAGGATCGGACAGCAGGAGTGGAGAGGAGTGGAAGATGAGTGGTTTAGCTGGGAGGAAGAAGGGGTGACACACAGGTTTCTAGCCTGAAGCAACAGGTTGGACGGGAGTCCATTACTGAAACAGGGTAAACAAAAGGAGAACTAGGGTGGGGAAAATGGCTGTGATTTTGGACTTTGGACTTAGAGAGTCAAGAGATGTGCGTGGGACCTCTAAGTAGCTAGCTGGAGTCAGGGGCATGGTCACAGGAACAGGCACCACGGGCAGGGATGAGGTCATCCAGGGAGAGTGCTCCAGCCAGAAGGAAGAGGGCCCAGGACGCAATCTTGACAAACACCAACTAACACTGAAGAGATGAGCAGAGGAAGATTAGACCAACCAAGGAAAGAGATGTAGGAGAGAGAGAAGAAAAAACTGGTAAGAATACAGTATCATGATGGGAAGTGAAGGAAGCAGAAGTCAATTAGTGTTAAATACTGCTGAGGGATCAATCAAGATAAGGACTGAACTCACAGAGAAATCACTGTGACCTGTGAACGGAATGACAGGATGGAAGGTGATAAGAGTAAGTAACACAAGAATGCCAACTGACCGTCTTTAACATAGAAATAGAACTCCTACCCACCATTATTTTAAGGAGAAGAGAAAAGGCAAGGAAAAGGAAAGATTAAAAGAATACACAAGGAATCAAGATTGGAAGGGAAAAAACAAACACCTTACTTGTATTTGATATAAACATTCACTTACCAACCCAGATAGATTCACAAAGAATGAGCACATTATTAGAAGTAATTTCAACTTGGCAAGATGAAAAAATAAACTTTTTAACAAGTCAGTAATATTTCTCTACAGCAGCAGAGACTAGGAAATGCATCGTTCATAACAGCAACAAAAACCTTCAAGCATTTATTTTATTATTTTTTTTTAAAGATTTTATTTATTTATTTGAGAGAGAGAGAATGAGAGACAGAGAGCATGAGAGGGAGGAGAGTCAGAGGGAGAAGCAGACTCCCCGCTGAGCAGGGAGCCTGATGTGGGACTCGATCCCGGGACTCCAGGATCATGACCTGAGCCGAAGGCAGTCGCTTAACCAACTGAGCCACCCAGGCGCCCCCCTTCAAGCATTTAAGAACTAACTTAACAAAGAATATAAAAGACTTCCACAGAGAAAACTTTAAACTGTTAAAAAGTTCAAATAAGATCTAAATAAATGAGACATCCTATGCTTTGGAACAGGTCAATCTAACATTATAAATACCTCAGTTCTTCCTCACCCTTGTACACTGTTTGTAGGAATGTAAATCGGTGCAACCACAATAGCAAACAGTATGGAGGTTCCTCAATAAATTAAAAATAGAACTACCCTATGATTCAGCAATCGCACCACTGGGTATTTATCCAAAAAAAACCAGAAACACTAATTGAAAAGATATATGCATCCCCGTGTTCCCTGCAGCATTATTTACAATAGCCAAGATATGGAAGCAACCGGAGTGTCCACTGATAGATGAATGGATAAAGAAAATGCAGTGTGTACACACGCACACACAAACACACATAATTATTATACCATAAAAAAGAAGGAAATCTTGCCATTTGTGACAACATGGATGGAACTTGTGGGTATTATGCTAAGTGAAATGAGTCAGAGAAAAGACAAATACCGTATGATCGTACTTACAAGTGGAATCAACAATGAAAACCCCGGGACTCAGGGGTACAGAGAACAGATGGGTGGCTGCCGGAGATGGGGAGGGGGGTGCTGGCAGGGAGGGGGTGTACAAATGGAAAATGGGTGGTGATTAAAGGTACAAACTTCCAGTTATAAAATAAGCCCTGGGGATGTGATGCACAGCATGGTGGCTGTAGTTAATAATACTGTGCTGTTTGAAAGTTGCTGAGAGACTTAAGTCTTAAAAGTTCTCGTCACAAGAAAAAACCAATCTGTAACAAAGTGGTGGTGGATGTTAACTAGACTTACTGATTTATTGTGGTGATCACTTATTGCGTCTCAACAAATGTCAAATCATTATGTTGTACACTTGAAACTAATTGTCATATGCCAATTATATCTCAATTTTAAAAAAGACTTCAGTTTCCCCTAAATTATTCAATACATTAAATTCAACCTCATTGGTTTTACTACTATATTTTTATTATTTAGAAACTCAAATTTATTCTAAATGCATACTGAAGAATAATGGCTCACATAAGCTATATCAGCACTAAAGGAATTTTTTTTTTTTTAAAGATAAAAAGGGAAGCTTTTCCTGTGACATAACAAACCAGTATGGTACTGGCATATAGAAAAGGAGACCAATATCGGGTGCCTAGGTGGCTCAGTCAGTTAAGTGTCCCACTCTTGGTTTCAGCTCAGATAATGATCTCAGGGTCGTGGGATCGAGCACAGCATAGAGTCTACTTAAGACTCTCTCTCCCTCTGCCCCTCCCTCCCGCTCTCTAAAATAAATATGTAAATCTTTAAAAAAAAAAAAAAAGAAAGAAAGAAAGAAAAGGAAACCAATAGTACAGAATAGAGAGTTCTGAGACAGATCCTACTGTATAATTAAGATTGCCCCATAAATTAATGGGGAAGGACAAACCATGTGTAGGGGAAAACTGGCTCCATATATGGAAAAAAATGAAAATGAATTCCACCTAATACTATATACAGAGGTGAAACTCAGGTGGACTAAGGACAAAAATGTGAAAGGTAAAACTATAAAGCTAATATAATTATTATAGAGAAGTATCTTTGTGACTTATAGAAGAAAAAGAGTTCCTAAATAAAATCCCACAAGCACAAAACTCATTAGCCTATTATCTATGCAAAACATAAAAAATTTTTAAAGCTCTTCTGGTGAAAGTATCAGGTTTTTATATGGAAAATCCATATAAAAAAGATAAACTAGAAGAAATGATGATTCTTTATGGTTATTTATTTAGACATAGAGGGTTCATGAGAATCAGGAGAAATAAAGCAGGTGGCTTTGGCTTTACAATTAAAAGAAACCAAAGTATTAGGTAAGTACCATGAATTTGTTTTACTCCATATATGGAGTGGAACCACCACCCAGTTCTTCATACACTTTTATTATAGTTCACATTAACCCCCAAAATACCTAAGAGTAAAGCTAATTATCAAGAGATCCTTCAATCAGAATCTGCTTTTTTCCATACTTGCAAGACTTTCAAACCAAAAGAACGAATATTACTCCCTTTAAAATTAGTGCTACATCAAATACTAACTCCTAAGCAAATGCTAAGAGGAATAGAGTTAAATGAAAACATAGGATTTTTGCAAGCTGTATTAAACACATTATAGTTATTATAAGCAAAACTGAATGAAATGAAAATAACGTATAACTTGAATTTAATTAAAATCTTAGGTTACGCTAAAAGCTTAGGGTTACATCCCAAATGTTTTATTTTACCACTTCCATATGAAGTAGAATGGGTACCTGACATTTAAATATACTAGAACAGTCTAGAGAAAAAAATATCAGCATTTGTTTTGGAATGAAATGTCTAGAAATTAGACTTGAGCATAACATCTGGGGAAAATCCCCAATTCAGTGCACCACGCATTGAATATTTAACTCTTTGTACACTAGGTAATAAAAATTATGTATTAGGTACAACATTTATAGCCCCCAAATGAAGATTATTTACTTAATTAAAAAATTCATTCACGTGTCCCATGTCTTTTTTCCCATCATGCTATTCAGAATGGAACCTTTCTTTAGAGCCAAAAAAACCTGCTAAAAAGTGAAAATCATATAATTTAACGTGTTGTTGAATGTACCAAAATAAGTGCCCCCCCAAATCTGCCACCTGTATTATTTCAGAAAACTATAAAATCACCACTAACTGGTGTGATACAGGGACGCACAGGTATTCTAAATGTATGAGATTGATAAAATATACCTTGAACAACAACCTGGCTGCCTGGGACAAAGAACTGCTGTGCGCCATCAGCTGACTGTGCTGCGTACTGTACAATCGTAGCACCTGGCGGAGGAGCTCCTGAATTTGTCATTGTTAATGCCTGCAGTCCCTGAACACCATCAGATCCTGGGTTAGAAATCTGGATTGCTCCACCTTGGGCTATAGCAACTTAACAGAAAAAGAAAAGAAATATTAGAGAATTTCAAGATTCACTTGTAATAATCCCAGATTGGAAGAATACACTGTGGCTCTGTTAATTACCAACTGTCAGTTTACCCTTATTTCTCTAGGCTGAATTGATAAGGAGATCCTTCTTCATAGGACAACACTCTGAAAAAGCTCATAAACACTTGAAAATATCTTATATTCAGAATTATTTGAAATACATAAAGCCCATGGAGTTTGCCTCCTCCCTAGTATCCATCTAGCTAAATTATTGAAGAGGAAGAGTGGAGATGAAGACAGGGAGGAAGACCAGCTTCTTGGTTTTCTCCATTCTCTCAGATGTTTTTAGTTATAGCTAAATAGCATTCTTCTAACATTTAAAAAGCAGTCAGTAAAATTCCATTGAGCATCACAATTACCATGAATTTATACCTTCATTCAGCTAACTACTCTAATTTATCATCAAAAGAAAGTAGCTCTTAATGGAATATATATTACTATACATTTTGCTTTTAAAGCCTAAGTCTACAAAACTGTAACCTTTACCATTTTGACTATGTCAGGAGAATCCTGAAATATACAACGTTAAGTTACAAAGGATCTTAAAATATAACTATTGAAAGAATTTGTGCTACAATATTTACCTCTACCAAGTGTCTTGAATAACTGCAGCTCATGGCAACAAATAGAAGGCGAACTTCCTCTAAACACTGAGACTTGCCAGTCATGTTTAAAAGTTAACATATTAACTAAAAGTTTCCAAAAAACAACTGATCAAATGTTTTGTTTTTAAATTTCACTCTAATAGACAAATAAGCAGTTTAAAATATCTGAGAGTTCTGTACATTTTAACATAAATATTATGACTCTATGGTTTAAGTGGAACCAAAGGCTATGCTTTCAAAAAAAAAATCACATATAAACTAGCTCATTAGATTTACAATGAAGATAACAACACATCAGAATAACACAACACATATAAATCAACGTAAATGCCTTACAGGAGTGTTACATAGTGTGTCAAAATGTATGCTGAGTATTTCCAACATATTCCCTAACGTTTTCAACAGTATCGAAGTAAAGGTCCATTTAGGTGGAACACCTGATTGTATAAACCTGTCCGAACTACTCGGAGAGAGTAACAATAAATCTTTAGTTCCTTGACCTGAGGCCTAACACAGAAAGATGGGTTAAGCATTTTGAAAAAGATTTCTGCAAGATGCATTCTGTGTTTTTGTTCTTTGACAGGCCACCATTAGGATAGAATTGACAGAAACTTAAGAATCAGTTACAGAATATCAAGGATGCTGAGGTTGAAAAATTTATGTAATATCACTTGCTTTATCTGGCTCACGTAGAGCATCACATTCTGTACACATTTTAAAAAACAAGATTTCAAGGGTCTCAGGATTCACCCTTTATAACAAAAGGGTTTGGGAAGAAACCTAACTATGTCTACTTTCTTAAAAGAGGAGTATGAAAGAGAAGAGATATTGCTTCCTCAGATCTTCATGACTGGACATGAATGTATTTCATATGTTATCATTTATCTGAATGTGTTTTCAGTTGATAATTAGTTTGGTGTTATAGAAATAGTGCTTTCGAAGCAGACACAGGCAGTGTAACCACAATATGGAAGAAGCACAAAGCCTAGCATGTAGTAGGCACTCAATAAATGATGAATGAATGGCTATCATTTCCTCAAGACAGACTACATCATAAACAACTTAAGCCACTTGTGAATCTAGAAGAGTTAAATAAAATACGGCTTCAAATTCTAATTACAGAACTTAATTTTCAATGCCAATACAATTAACAAGCTTTGGGACTGGTAAAAAATCTAATGTGAGAGTAGTTGCTGCCTAGGGTAAGAACATGAAATAGGTAGATAACAAAGACCCTTACTTTTTTTCCACCCTTTATTTTTTTCAATAATGTTTCCTTATAGTTCCAACCAAACTTCTTTGCTTTCACACACACTGTGAAAAGCTGATATATAAAGAATCTGTTCCTCTCATCATTTTATTTTCTGGTCAAGTCATTATATAATTAGTGGAAAACAAAAGCTAAACACACACACACAAGCTAGCTCTAGGGGAAAACATTTCTACTGATAAGTGTTGTACTTTAACCTCGCTTTTATTTTTTATACCAAAGGCACTTTTGATTTTGGCATTATCAAATGACAGAGGACCTTCCCATTCAAAATATTACCTCTCATTTGACAATAAACAAGATTTCCCAATGCTTCAGGATACTAGAATTAGGTCTTGTGTGTGTGTGTGTGTGTGTGTGAGTATTCAAGATTTGAGGAGGAAATTTTCAGGTTACAAAATATTCAAGGATAGCAAAATATGTGTTTTCAGTAAACACATATCAAGATAAATTAAATAGTGGGAAAAATTAAGATGAAATTAACTGAATGAATTTAATCACTTAATTTTTCTTTTACTTTTGTTTACGTAACTTTTTACTTATTTTTTTTAAACTTATGGACATTTGCTAGCAAACATAAAAGTAGAAAGAATTTTGTGTCACCTATTTTCCTTGCCCATACATCCCCAGCCTTTATTTTTTTTTGGTCTGGAGTATTTCAAAAACAAATCCCAGATATCATATCTGGCTAATCATTTTTAAATAAAATGATTGGCCCATATGAAGGCCATTAGTAGCCAATGAAGATAAAATACCTTTGTATTTCCTACCAATTTTACTTTGGGGACCTAGGCTTTATTAATGATTTCTTAGACTGACACATGCAACTGAGGCATAAAAGCTTATACCTAGGGCCTCACTGCTGATCACCATGAAGAGTCCACACTGGTCTATGAAGACTGATTGGGACTCAAACACAAGTAAAAGTGTTTTTATTTTAGATTATATACATACTGATTTTCCTCTTTTAAGTAATCCTTAATAACATTAGTTTGATAAAATAATCTAAATTGAATTAAAATTGAACAGCTAGATTATATAATCAATTAAATTCTACTTCAACACCCATTATTAATAGATTCAAGCCTGCTAGTATGTTACTGCTCATAATAATGGTGGGTAGAGGTTAGGCTCTGTTGTCCTAGTTGTTCTGGGAGTTAGCTTTTTTTTTCCCTCTCAAGTCTCAGGTAAGCTATCCCCATAACTAAGTAGGTCACTCTATACCCACAAGTTGAATTTTGGACATACTGACCTTACATTAAGAGTTTGTCTAGATAGAGTGTAAATCACTAATTTACTAAGTATTTTTCTACTAAGTTGGTTTCAGTGGTTACACAAATGTCTCTATATACATCCTTATATAGTCATGGTATTTACTTCCGAATCAATATTAACCCAAGTATGGTTTCTCCATCCCCAACTTACCATACACCACAGTAACTAGGATGACATATCAACTAGTCTAGGCAATAAATTCTTTAAAAATTCCTAGTTCACAAAACTGTATTTAAAAAATCTGTTACTTCTACTCATTGCCATTGAGTACTCCTCTCCCAGAGCTATTAATATCATAGAAATAAGAAAATATTATGTGTGGGATGAAAATTAGAGAATTTTGGCAAAAAATTTGTTTTAATTAAAAAAGCAGTATTTTAAAGTTTTGTATGATCAATAAAGAAAGAAGAGAAAGATAAGGGTGGAAAACTAAAAAAAAAAAAAAAAACACAACAAAGAAAAGAGTTCATGACCAAATGGGGAAGGAGTAGAATTTATTTAAATTAAGATTTCATCTGACTTTTCATTTGATACTAATATCTTTGTAATCCTAACCCTGTATATATGAGCTAATTCAAGCACATAAACATATAAATGTTTAATTATAATTTAAAACCATCTTTATTCCAAATTACAAAAAAAATTCATAAATAAAACTTCACTGAATTAACTTTATAAAGAACAGCAGACCTTATGCCAGTGAATTCTCAAATTTAAATTTAAAAAAGTGAGCGCGGAACAGAACCTGTGAGTACCTGTGCCTTAAAAACCAAGAGGTTCATACAGCTGAAGAGAGACTAAAATAACCTCGTGCTATAACAAGAATAGCAACACCAAGATTAAAAAGCCAGATTTACATTAAGCAGATACCTTCTATGTTTGCTTTGAAAGTTACCTTGGGAGAATGTAAGCAAAGTCACTACTAAGAGTTATAAATGCAACTGCATTTACTTTAGAATGTGTACACCTATCATGCAAATTCCTTTTATGGTGTTTATTCATAGGAGTCTCCTGAGAATTCTGAATTCTTTAAGTAGCCCACAAAGTTCACATAGATCTCTTTTTATAATGGTGGATTTTGGATTGACCCACTTACCTTTAGTGTGTAAGAATTCCAATAAAGATGGGTTAACAGAGACTCATTCTAACAAGGTTCCTAGTAAAATAAAGTAGGGACAAGCAAAGAGACAAGGGACATTTAGAAAATAAATAATCTTGGGTGATAGTCCTTAATTGGAAGGGAAGAGGTCAGATATAGCAGAGTGATGGACAAAAAAAAAAAAAAAAAGACTTTGTCTTCAGAGAAAACTTAATGAATTAGGAAACTGCAAACATTTAAATTTCTTTAGTTACTTTTACTATGTTTATGAAATTCATCCCCATTTAATGCAGATCTTAAATGTCTTATGCAACAAGTAACATTCTTTGCTAATTCTGAGATTATCTGAACTGCTATCTTTCAGAAATATTCTCTTGAGACAAAACAAATTTTCTTTGGCGAGAATGACTTAATTGGCTTACAGCAAACCTATCACTAAGATCTGTACTTCCAGTAAAGATTTTGCAAGTATAGCTGACTTTCTTGGTGTTGCAATAATGAATCCCTTCTGTTTAGAGTTATTTTTACTACTCCCAGGGAGTAGACTATTCTAACTTTCTCTTCTTAGTTTCTGTGATTAAAAAATAAGTTGAAAAAATAAGGCCAAATTCTGTCAAATATCTAATTTTTGACTATTAAAAATATAACTGATTGTATATGAGAAAGCCTGAGTACGCTCATTTTTTTTATTTCTTCAACCTTGACACACACAGTCCTTTAGTTCTTTTGTTTTTAACTCCAACTACCTCACTATACTAAATTAAAAATAATAATCTTTGGAAAAAAAAAAAAAGCAAAGCCTAGGGGAAAGTCATCCATAAATCAAAGTTGAAGAAAGAATTAAACCTACAAAAACACATTTTACAGTAAAAGGTTATGAGAGGGTCTCAAAAACAGATACATGCAAATAACCCAGAATAATCTCCAGAAATTCTAGTAAGATAAAAGTCTAAAAACCAAAGGACACCAGTAATTATTTCATTTTTTAGATATCCAGGAACAACATTAAAGCATTAATATCTGTTAAGATTCCTACTATGAAATCTGATTAATGAAATGGATCCTGTGTATGTGTAAATATACATTTACCCTCCAATCAAAGTAAATGTCTTTTAAACACTTTTAATGTTAGTATTCACCTCTCAGAAGAAAGAATTATCAACATAAGCGTCACTAAACGTCTAAGAGATGCATTTTTAGCAAAGGCAGTTATCACTTTTCATGAAGCAATAAAAATGGCAATTTCTACCTGCAGAGAGCACATACAGAATAATCACAACTTTTAATACCTGCCAGGATCATATTGTATGGGTCTAAATTAAGAAACCTCAATAAGAGACAGTCCATGACCTCTAATGTGGCAAACAGATAAACATCTAACTTCTAAACTTTCGATGTGCTGTTCTCAACCGTAACTCCTGACTCTACTCCCACCACCCTGCACCCACAGTGATGTCAGTCTCCTGCCAGGCCCCTGCTGCAAGTGCATGTACTCAGAGCACAAGAAATACAGGCTTTGCTGCTACCTGGAGGGAAAGTTCACATATGAGACACTGCCTTACATTTCTGTTTTGTGTCAAAAGTAGCATGTCTGTTTTCTACCACTTTTCCCTATTATTTCCTTTTGTCCTCACACTAACCCCAGAGTTTGGCAATTTTAGTATTATTCCCACTTCAAAGACCCTGAGATGGGAAAATAAAGCTTCTCTATCTGATCCAGTTAGTGAATGGCAGGACCCGGAGCCTTCCCCACATCACCTCTAGCTTCAACGTTCTCTCAACCCAGTGTTTTCACAATTTCAAAATTTCAACTAATAACCTAGGCAAAATAACCTACAGCATCCCCTTCCATATCACTTGTACAGAGATCACCGCTTCTATAAATTCCTAAGCAGTGCTGGGATATGCCAAAGAAATGTTTAAGATGAAAGCATCTTAGGTCACCCCCCAAATTTTAACGTGTCTTAGCATTATTTCATCAGTAATTTCCAACCTCTTCCCTATTATGCCACAAATAGAAAATGATAGTATGTGTACAGCCCACTGCTTAAGACCAGACCTGAACAACCAGGAGTTTCCAGCAGCTCCAAGCCCTGCCCAGCCACTCCAGGGAGTACAAGGAGCCCACACTCCTCTACCTCCGTGCTGCCGTGCAGAGGCCTGCCAGCTGGCAAACCCTGATTTACACCTCTAAAATTCCCACCATCTATTCCCACTGGGCCAGACAGAAAGGTATAGAAATCAGAGAAGTAAAAAAAAAAAAATTACAGCAAAACCTCAAGATCTAACTCTTTACAGAGACAGTGGGGAGTTTCCTTTTGCTAACATTGACTTTGGGACATGCCCACTCAGCACCCCATAGAGGCTGTGGACAAATTATACCCCAGTTCTGCTAGGTATCATGGTAGGAGCTACCTGAAGAGCCAGAATTGCCAAATGAGAATTCGTTTAATACTGCAAATCTACCACCACCAAAATAAAAAACTCTAAAAAACTAACAACTATATAAGATCTTCCCATACATTGAAGAGTATCCTTTGCTTTAACAGCCACATCTTAAAGACTTGAGAGTTTTTCTAGGTATTACTACTTTTTAAATAAGGGAAAACAGAAAACATATCTAAAATCTTACCATCATATTTAAACCAACTTAGTATCTAATACCACACATATTCCATTATCTAAGTAGTTTTTTTTTTAAATCTTTTTTGTCCTTTTTCTGGCTTTTCTTCCCCCTTTTTGCTTTTCTTCCTAGCTCTTGTTTTTTACTAAAGCATTTTTATGTATATCAAATGTACTTGATTTGAGAAAAAAAATCAGTGCTTTAATTAGAGTAAAAAGCACAGGATTAACAGGCCATTAAAATGCACAAGACTAAATGTGAACGTATCTGTTTATTTACAGCTTTTGATGTTTAAAATTTCAAATAAAATGATCTGTCCAATTGCTGTAGCTTTAAAAAATAAATCATTTTTCCATTCTCTTCTAGAAAAAGCTGCAGCACAAATTAACAAAGAGTAGTGAAAACATAATTACATTTAAAACATAATTTAGGAAACATTATGTACCTCTTTCAGATTAGTAAGCATAATATGTAATTGTTGGTAACAAAAGCCAACAAGAATGAAATACAGACATTTATATCTTATGTTTGCATGCATCTTATAAAGACAACAAAAACAGTAAGTTTTAAATTTTTACCAGACATGAATATAAACATATAAATAGGCAAAGCCTCCCTTTATTTTTACCCAAAATTTTTCTTCTATGTTCAGTAAAATATTTTCACTTTTCAAAAGTATGTGACAGCTGTCAGTACAAATCTCTCACTTCTTTAACATGTACTTTTCATTCTATGATACACACAGTTTAGATATTGCGATGCATTTTAAAATGGAACAATTGAATGCCAAACCCAAGTTGCTTCAATGTAACTAGAGAAGACTTAAAGCTAGCACTGTATCATAGCGAATTGCAGCATACATACTGTATTGCCCCGTGCTAGTCTGATATATGCTAGTCGGTACTGCCATGGTAGCGATGTTAGGTGGCGTTCCTTCTTCCTCTGGTTTTTCTTCTTCAATCTTGGGAACACCAGGCACATCAGAGGAAAGTTCATTCAGTATTTTTCTAAAACATAATTTGACAACAGAAACAATCAAGATATATGAATGAGATTTAAGACAGAAAAGCTATAATGGAAGAACTGGTTTGATACATAATCATTCTCTCTTTTTGGAAAAGGTATCATTACAGTAGGAAACTTAAATAACTTACCTATAAGAGGGTCTTCGTGAAAGGATTTCTCTACGTTTATGAGAATCAATTACACCTTCTGATTCTGCAGACTCATCTGTCTCTGCAATTGTTGCTACCTACAATACAAGAGTTTCTGAAATGCATCATAAAATATATGATCTCCTTCATTCAAAAAACGGTGCTTAAGGGTCTAGGTGTGCAGCATGAAGCCAGGTGCTGGGAAAGTGCCCAGCAGCAGAACACACTGCACCTGCACTACTGCAGCTCACACCTGGCTTAGCAGAGGGGGCCAAGACACCCACACTTCAGCTGCAGAGCAGGTATGTGTGGCAGGAATGGTTCGGATAATAAATACCACAGAAAGGCAAATGAAAGTGGTTGGCATGGCAGGTGAAGCTTCACAGGAAAGGACTACCCACATGTAAGATACCTAAGACTTAAGATCCCTACTCTAAACCTACTCTTAGAAATCCAGCGGGGATTGAGTGAGCTAGTGACAGAGGCAGAAAAAAGCATCTCAACCTCACTACCCTCTTCACAATACCTCAGCTGACTTGAGCTGGGTCTTCAAACTAGACATTAGATAGGTTCAAAGAAGCAAACAAGTAACCAAGCCTGATTAAAGTTAGGATTTATAGGACAAGAAGTAGGGTGGGGATTGATGCTGGTTAAGTCTTGAAGGTCAAAATAAGGAATTTCTCCTTAAAAGAAAGATCAGAGTTTTAAGCATGATTTCATTTTTCGAGTCACATAATAATCACAGGATTTCTTTTTTTTTTTTTTTTTAATCACAGGATTTCAAGGAAAGTCTGAAAACTAAAATAATGAGTCTCTACATGATGGCTCTCAATATACTATGCCCTTATCATTCAGGGCTTAGGGTAGTTCCGAGTTTATAAAACTCACTTAATATTATAATTACAGGAGAATTTGATTTGGGCAAAATAAAAAAAAAACTTGTTTAAATGTCAACAATGCAAGCAAGAATATATACTTCTTGAAGCACACTGATGTACATAATGTTCACTTACACACAGTTTAGATATTGCAATGCATTTTAAAATGAAACATAAGACCATGCATTTCTGGTCATGGACACCCTACACATAAGCACAGCCACCAATGAATAGAACTTAGAAAAAATGTTGCAATCAACAATCATATATCACCACCAAACATTTATCACTTTACACTGGGCTTTCACACACCTCTCATAAACTCATAACAAACCCTCTATGTGAGGTAGGATACTATTTTACCCACTTCAGAAAGGTGAAAGCTGAAGTTCATGCAGACAGATTAAGTGACGACCATTGTTCAACAAGCAGGAATTCTAAGACAAGATCTACTGGCACTTACGTCTACAAAGATAATTAAATCACCTACTTAACAAAATCCAAAAAAGCCTACTGAATATAAGATAATACTTTCTTCCAATAGCAGCCAGAAATATCTAGAGCAGAAATATCTGCACCCCAATAAAAGTCATAATTAAAAAGGAGAATGGAAGGATTTTCTTGTTCTATAATTAGGGTCAGAAAGAGAAACTCTTGGAATCAAGGGTAATGATGGGAAAAAGAGACAATGCTAAGAATGATTCTTACTCTTTGGAAAAGATACCTGTGCAGCAAAGTTAACTAAGCTTTCAATGCATGTGGATTTATTACTTCAAATATCAAGTTGCAACCTTATTCTGCAATAAACAGTAGCCAAATATACAAGGGACAAGACTGATTACATGTGCACACCCGTGTTTTCCTCACCAATCTTTTTGTCATCAACTATGTTCAAATAATTTCAACATGTAAAGGATAATAACTGACCTAAAAAAGGAACAGAAATAAATTCAATAACCAAGAAAAGTATGCTTTGAAAAACGCATTCTTACGCCTATCAGAATGGCTAAAATCAACAACAGACAAAACAATAAATGTTTGTGAGGATGTGGAGAAAAAGGAACCCTGGTGCTCTGTTGGTGGGAATGCAAACTAGTGTGGTCACTCTGGAAAACAGTGTGGAGGTTCCTCAAAAACTGGAAAATAGAATTACCCTACAATCCAGCAATCATACTACTCGATATTTACCCAAAGAATATAAAAACACTAGTTAAAGGGATCTACGAACCCTTATGTTTATAGCAGCATTATTACAAGAGCCAAATTGTGGAAGCAGCCCAAGTGTCCATCGAGAGATGAATGGATAAAGATGTGGTCCATACAGACAATGGAATATTACTCAATCATAAAAAGAATGAAACCTTGCCATTTGCAACTACATGGATAGAGCTAGGGAGTATAATAATGGTAAGCTAAATACGCCAGTCAGAGAAAGACAAATACCACATGATTTCACTCATGTAGAATTTATGAAACAAAACAAGCAAAGGGGAAAAAAAATAGAGAGAGACCAACCAAGAAAGAGACTCTTAACTATGGAGAACAACTGATGGTTACCAGAGGGGAGGTAGGTGGGGAGATGGGTGACATAGGTGATGGGGATGAAGGAGTGCACTTGCTGTGATGAGCACCAAGTACTGTATGGAGTGCTGAATCATTATATTGTACACCTGAAACTAATATTACACTGTGTGTTAACTAACTGGAATTAAAATAAAAACTTTAAAAAATTCATACTTAATTTACATCTATTGATGCAAAAAAAATGTTTTAGCTTCAAGAAATGTTAAGGATTTGTGATCAACTCTGATAATAATAAATTTAAAAACATATCTCTGGATCACAACCATAATAATCATGTCTACAAAAACCAAGGTTTTATCTGCGAGAGGCTGGTGATGTAGAAGCATAATACCAAGGTAACAATAATACCCTATGTTTTCTACAAGTTACAGATATTGAATTAAAAATAAACTTCCACTACTTACTAATGTATTTATAAAAACAGTAATCTTTATATGCTGTGTTTATCAGACATCTTCAAAGAATCCTCAAAATATTTTTAAGCACCACTGGAGAGCTTAGGTAAATAAATCTGAGTCTGAGCACAGAGCAACGACTCAAAGAATTACTCATCTGGCAATTACTCATCCTGTACATTAAGAGCTAACAACAAAACTGCAACTCTCCAGTCAAATCTATATATCTAGCAGGGCACAATGCACTTCACATGGGAAAAGGAAATTCCTCCAAATTTCTAATAAAAAGACCTAAGCAAAGGAAAAGATGATAAATTAATAAAAGGAAAAAAAAAAACAACCCTGAAGAAAGTCAAGAACAAATCACCCAGGAAGGCAGCTGACCTGAACAGTCTGTATCTGTGGTGACTGAATAACCGATGGCTGTGGTGTCTGAATTACTCCCTGGACATGTACAGTCTGGCCCGAAGGTAACTGTACTAGAGTTACAGTGGGGGAGCCTCTTCCGGTGCCTGATCCAGCTACAGAAACCTGCAAAAATGATCACCACTGAGGATTAAGGCTGGCTCATTTTCTGTTTTGTTTTGTAAAAGAAATACCATTCACTATTACGATGGGCCATTTTTTCCTTTCTTTCTCCTGCTTCTAAGAAATGACAGGCACACTGGGCTACTTACCATTAGGAGGTGGTTACTGTCCTGGAACAGTCATTCTCTGATGTGATAGATATTAAAGAACCCATGCTCCTCACTTTCGGTTCCCATGCTTCGATGGCTAAGAATGCTCCAAGCACAAAGTTCTAAAGCAGTTAAACTACCTCACTACGACCTCACGACTATTAACAGTGAATCCTTATTTAGGCCAGAGTATAAACTACCCTCTCCAACTTCCTGAGAGAAATTGGAGAGAGAACTTAAATATGGTGAATTATTTTTTAATAAATGAAACGTTCAAAATAGGATATTCTGGTATTACTCCAGATGCAAGCTAATGCCTTGTCTTTTATACTAATGAAAATCACAGTTACTTTTATGCCCCCATAATCACAAAAAAGGCACAGGCCAGAGGAATTCCAAGGACTTCTCATGCCCTTAATGTGTCTAATCCAGAGAAAATGCATGCTTTAGATCTGGGATGTCCCTCTTACAGCTTTCCTCCCCGCTACCTCCAGCATCTCAAGAAAGGGCCAAAACCATCCCTTAGCTTGTACAAAGTACAACCATCTCCCAGTACCCCTGAGCGCTTTCAACAGAGATCCCTACCAGCAAAACACAGTACTTCGACCCCCTGGATTCAAAACCTGCCAAGTTTACTAATTAGTCAACAACGCAATCCTATAGGTTGCCCAGTGTAATCTTAGAAACCTTGCTTCATTTTACTGTTTCACTCACTATTCATTATGACTTACTCAAGAGTCAAAGACTTTGGAAATGAAATAAGTAAAATAAGCTACCAGTTTCTACCATGAATGGTAGTAGAACCACAAGCTCTAAAACAAACTTTGAAGGAAGCCTCTGTATAGAGCCTCACTTTAAGAAACACCATGATTTCCAATCTACTTATACTTTAAAAAATTATTAAAAACTGGGCTTATAACAAATAATTATAAGATTTACTTATAAGATCATTTCCTTAGAAAGCAAGCTTCTTTGGTAATCCAAAAGTAAAAATCTTTCATCCATACAAGAGAACCTGTGTGATGAGCATGTACTAGGTGCACTAGGATAAAAAGTAAAATTGATAAAACTAACACCTAAGAAACAATAGTGCATCAAGCATTATAGAACGAATTGCTCCATTGTACAGGCCATGAAAGTCATGGGAGTACAGAACAGAAAGATCAGAATGAGTCTGAACAATAAGTGCAGGCTTTGTGTAGAAGCCACAGCTTGAGCTAGGCCTGCATAATAGACAGAAAAGGGCAGAGACACCCAACATATATAGCCCAAGGGGCAAGTTCAGCCCACCTGCCCCTGGAGTATTATTGTCTACCTTAGATTTTAGGGGAAAGAAAAAGATTACACCATGGTAAAAGACATTTAACAACCAGAAGTTTAAAAAACCCCAAAAACAACAACAACAAAAAACAATGGAAGGATTTATTCTAGAAATGACAAAGCAGGGGCGCCTGGGTGGCTCAGTTGGTTAAGCGACTGCCTTTGGCTCAGGTCATGATCCTGGAGTCCCGGGATCGAGTCCCGCATCGGGCTCCCTGCTCGGCAGGGAGTCTGCTTCTCCCTCTGACCCTCCTCCCTCTCATGCTCTCTGTATCTTATTCTCTCTGTCTCAAATAAATAAATAAAATCTTAAAAAAAAAAAAAAGAAATGACAAAGCAGCACAAAAGATAAATCTGTGTGAATAATAAAAAGGAATCCACCTCTTTGTGGACCAATTACCAAAAGGTACTCCTTCTGCCACACAAATAATTCTCAAACTTTTTAGTCTCTCAGGACACCTTTACGCTCTTAAAAATTACTGATGACTCAAAGAGCTCTTGTTTATGTGATTTATATCCAGTCGGATGCCGTAAAGATTTAACAATCAGTGTTGGGGAAAGGAGAATCTTGATTTGAAATGTTTGCTGATTTCTGTAATGTGACACTCTAACTATGGCAGATTTCAAGTTACCAACAGACACTGAACACAAAGTTGGAAAAAGATGCAGGCAATTGGCTCTCACAAGCCAGCTCCAGCATACCTGGTTATATGTATCAATATTTACCATATTAGAAATTAAAACTGAAAAATTTTTATACCTTAAAAATAATTCCACTACATGCTAACATAAATAGCATTTTATTAAAAATAATTACATTTTCCAGAACAAAAAAATTAGTGACCAGAGTATCAATGTTTTACTTTTTTATAAATTCTTTTAATGTCTGGTTTAATCGAAATCAGCTAAATTCTCATACCTACTTGTACAGTGAATATGTTGCAATATTTTAGTCGATAACGTGAAGGAAATCTGGACCTCACACGGATACATCATTGGCAAATGAAGACTATTACAATAGCTCTTTCCAAAAAACATGGATATTATTCTTTGTTACTACACCCAAACTCAACATGTGGTTGTTTCATAAAGATCAGTTGCAATGTGGAATCTGAAACCGTATGTTATATTAAAATCCATTGACCAGTCCTGCACTTTGAATGGATCCCATGCATGATTCTGTAACATCACACAGTAGTTATTTGGAAAATATTGGCTCACTGAATTAAAAGCAGATCTCCCAAATGCTGACATAGTTCATGATACTTTATCAGAAAACCTCATTCATTAAAATCAACATCAATCTCATCAGAATACTATAAATACTGAAAAGCTATCAAGCTCACAATGGCAGGTACAGGATTTCCAAAATTAAAAAACTCTCTAAAAGCTTGAATTTTATCATAGACAATAAACACTGTCAATTGTTTTCCTTGATGTGACAAGCTTACTTCATTTGCTTTTAAGAAAATGTTTTCCAAACACTCAAGTTTGAATAGCCATAGTTTGGCTATTGGCTATCCTTTATAGAAAACTGATGTCCTGTGGAAAAAAACCCAGCTAGTTCATTTCACCACTCAAACAATTACACAAGTGTTTTTCTTCAAGAACACTTTACTACACAGCAGAAATGCTTTCAGTAAACATACCAATTTCATAACACAGAATATGAAAACAACATGTACTCAAGGGCCAAGGTTTGATACAATTGGTAATATTCACCGCTTCATCGGGGTATTTTAAATGAAACTTTTTTTTTTTTTTAACTGCAAGTGAATGGCAGTGTAGAATCCAATCATTACTAGTATAGTCTGATGCCACTGACTTGATTCATGCTAAGGCACCAACAGCTTCACTCCCACCCTCTTCTGTTTTTAACCATCAGTGTAAATATCATTACAGTGAAAAAGGAAAATAAATCTTAGCATTATTATGAAAACAGTTAGTCCTCCCAAACCTCCTGAAAGTCTCCTCAGAGTCTCCCCTAGGGTCCTGCACACCACATTTTGAAAACTGCTGCTCTATCCGAATGTAGCCCTCAGGCCCCGGCTCACAGCGTGAAGAACGGATCATTGAAGCAGGCTGTGATTTCAACCACAGCACTGCAGCACAGCCAGAAACACCACATCCAAAACCCTGACAGAGAGCTCGTGAGTCAGAGACTGAGTGAAATGTAATATGAATTATACCCAAGAGCACTCCCGGTATTACAGACTGGACCTGTGGATTGGGATGGTGGATAGTGCCCACATTCATCTTCTGTGCGGAAGTACCCCAGTTTGAAAGACATTAGATATTCTGAAGAACTGAACAACTCAAGAAAGATCTGTGAGGTTTTGGGCGCCTGGGTGGCTCAGTTGGTTAAGCAACTGCCTTCAGCTCGGGTCATGATCCTGGAGTCCCGGGATCAAGTCCCGCATCGGGCTCCCTGCTCGGCGGGCTCTGACCCTCCCCCCTCATGTGCTCTCTCTCAAATAAATAAAATCTTAAAAAAAAAAAAAAAGATCTGTGAGGTTTTGATAAATACAAATCATGCTTTAAGTTGCCTTAATTACCTTTCAAGTATAATTTTCAGGATTTTAAATTATTAAATAATCACTCTATCAAAATGGCTTAGTGTCAAGAATACCTGCTGTGGAAAAGGAGCTGGAGCCACTAAGACAAAACTGTACTTCCAGCATTCTGGAGATAAGTTGTAGGAATTCTATAACTACAGTGAAACTTCTCTATGTCCAAACTCTGGGCAGTGCAAAAGCTCGTGAGACAACTCTTTTGTTAAACTGTGGAAAGACAGGCTGAGAACCTGCATAAATCACATACTCTAGGGGCGCCTGGGTGGCTCAGTCGTTAAGCGTCTGCCTTCAGCTCAGGTCATGATCCCAGGGTCCTGGGATCGAGCCCCACATCGGGCTCCCTGCTCCACGGAGAGGCTGCTTCTCCCTCTCCCACTCCCCCTGCTTGTGTTCCCCCTCTCGCTGTGTCTCTGTCAAATAAATAAAAAAAATATAAAAAAAAAATTACATACTCTAGAGAATTCAGATGTATCCTTAAAAAACAAAACAAAAACCCTTATATAGAGAGACATCCTATATCCAGACATTCTATTCTCACTGGTTTTGCCAAAGCTGGTGACTAGTATTAAAGCCCATCACTGTATTGGTAGAATTAACAAGATGAACTTCACTGTTACTCATTAAAAAAAAAAAAAAATTCATGAGGCTCCCTACCTTTAGCATCTCAGTATTATTATATTATTATACTGAGCACATGGGCCACAACGGAATCTACGGCATCCTTGAAGGAGGGTACCGTACACACATGGCATAGAAGGAACACTGGCAATGATTCAAGAACATGCGTGGAGGCTCCAAAGTCAAAAGTGGGTAAAGAAAGAAGCATCTTTTTGTTTTGTGTAAGGTGGCAGATTCAGTTTTAGGTAGGCTAGATTGAAAGCAATGGTAGGGTAACTAGGTGGAAACGTTAATAAGCAAGGAGAATTATGTGACTGATGCTTTAGAGCTAGAAAACAAAGAT